CACAATTCCACCTGTGGCCTAATGAGGGAATAATATCTTTCACAAACCAGTGAATTTATAACTTATTGAATATCCATATAAAATTAAACTCAGTGAATATCTCTTTATTTTACAGTACCTGAAGATGGGGTTGTATCTGCAGAAGATGGTTATACATTTGCTGGTCAGCCAATATCGCTAGAACCCTGGTGGATAGCTGTGATAATTGCTCTGGTTATCATTGCTTTGTTCCTTGTCTTGTTGTTGGCATGTCGCAAAAATGAAAAGTAAGTATTCCTGAATTATTCATCCATACACTTTTTTCACATTATATAAAGACACTTGTGGAGCAAGATACATAGGGATGAGGCTCCTTTATGCAAAAGTGCTTCTTTATAAAAAGTTAATTTTAAAGTTGTAAAACTCGGTTGATTTTCTCTGACCTACAATACTGCTTTTGAATACTTCCTGTATATAAACTATTCTTGGCTTACCTCACCAAATTTAGATTTTGAAAACCAAAGTAAAGTTCATAAATTAACAAACAAATTATAAAAAAATATGTGATAAATGTTGCAAAGTTTAAGCGAGAAAATTACAGTATGCATTATGTAAATATTGGGAGCCATTATGTAAATTTTTGGGAACCATTATGTAAATTTTTGGGAACCATTATGTAAATGAATGAGAGCCATTAGGTAAATTGTGGGGAGCCATGATAAAGATTGTTAACATATCATAATGTTGACAAAATACAGAATGACATGAACACAGACATGTTGATGTGTTAAACTTTGTAATAATCTTATGTATCAACCTTATGTATCCTGTTCACAGGACTCGGAAACGTATACGTGAAACAATGCAAACTAGACTAGGCCAGTACGTGAATAGTACATTGTCATGACAACCAAGGTTCACTGCATCCCATTTATTAGCATCATGTTCTAATTGTTTTTTTTAGTAAAATTGCATGATTTTTCAAAATGCATGAATGAAAATTTAATGAGATAGGTATATTCAGTTTGGAATCCCTTCATTTTTGTGAAACTTTAATCAAAGAGAAATAATTGTGTAGTTCCCAATATATAATAATATATACAAATATCTAATATTTCTCAAGATAATCACTTGATACCACCTATTTCAGGAACTTAGTCTCTAGTTCATAAATGTGAAGGTCATCCAAAATATTGTTTTCATAATTTTTTTTATTAAATATATTTAAATTTAATTTAACCAATTAAAATATCTCAGATCTTCATGATGAAATATTTATAATAATAAGGACAAACTGACATTTTGATTGCAACTTAGAAAGTTCATTTACTGGTTACTTTTAATAGCAACTTAGGGAGTGCATTCACCATCTATTTTTATTAGCAACTTAGGGAGTGCATCCACTTTCTATGTGCATTTACTTTTTTTGTTTAACAGCAACTTAGGCAGTTCATTCTGTGGTTATTTTTAATAGCAACTTAGGGAGCACATTCACTATCTATTTTTAATAGCAACTTAGGAAGTACATTCACTTTTAATATTTAATAGCAACTTGGGAAGTCCATTCACTTTTAACATACACTACTACCTCGTAGTATATCAACTGTTTTATTCTGCATAAAGAGTAAATTTTATAAATTTTCTATGAATGCATAAGAGAAATGTCAGTTTAACTCTGCAATAACTTGTTGTCAATGCTTTCACCTCCCGTTTGATTTCTCAACTTTGTCACTTTCTTTAAAGTAGCATAGTCACTGTGGAGCATTTATTCTAATCTTGTGTAAATAATGTTAAACACTTTAAATCATTTTCTTTGTGTTCATATTTTATATATTGTTATTTTTGTTTATTTATGTCTATTTTTTTCTTGTTTTACTTGCCATTATAAAAAACTTAATAACTACAAATAAAAACAAAAAATAGTCAAAAATAAATAAAAAATGAAATTTAAAAAAACAAACAGATTTTAATCACATAGAAATGATCAAATGGGATTCAAAATGCAGCAACTATGGTGTTTTGATGTGATTTTTTACCACATTACTTACAAAAATGTCCAAAAGTGGCATACTTAGATAAATTGTAAACAATTTGGATCAATATTTCAACAAATCTGACTGAAATTATTTTAGTAATATCAAGTAGTGTTGGAAACAATGTGGTCAGTGAAAAAGTTATTAAAACTATGTGAATTATGCTGCGTGAAAAAATATTGAAGTTCAAATGAAGAACTACTTTTGAAATGTATAATGTGTTTTCGTAACAGGGCACGCTATGATGCTGAGAAAGCCAGGGCGGATCGTAGAGCTGGTAGACCAAATGAACAATTAGATGAACAGATTCCTGTCATTGATGAAGAGTATGACAATCCAGCAAGAGAAAACGATTATGGATTCATACCACCAACTGGAAGCAGGTTAGATTGTTTGTTATTTAATTTCATGTTATTTGAAGTTGTATATCCTTTAGTATGTACATAGAAATTGATAGTTAATTTGATTGGTAGAAGAGACACATAGTCATCAATGTGAAATCAATTAATTGGTTATTACATTATTTTATTTTTACAGCCGATCAACAATTGCTGAAGTGAACAGTTACGAGAACCCGTGGCCTACTAGTACTGATGATTTCACTTTGCAGAAGACCCATCTATAAAAAAAAAAATCATCCTTTTTTACAATAAATATATAAAAATAAGAATCAAAGTCTGTCAGAAATGTAACAGAACTTTAGTTTTATACCAGAATGTATTAACTTTTACTCAAACATTTTATTGAAAGAATTTTTCATTTATCCTTGCCTGCAATTTACATGTCAGATGCCTCCCTGTGATATTTTAGACGCATTACTACACACTGTATTATATTCTAGTTGGTACAGAGTAAGTAAATATACAGGATTCCTATATTCACTATGCAAAGTATCAATTGTACACGAAGTCACCTAAAACCTGAAGGGTTGGGTGGTATAGATTGGACATATTTTAAATTATTGTGTGTGATCTCTGTATTCATAATGTACCATCATTTCAAAATTGACTGTTTTCAAAAGTCAATGGGTCTTCAGCATCCTAATCTATGCCAAGACAATTTCTGAGATATAATTTTCACTTTTTAATTTTTTTTCAGTTTTTGTCATTTTTAATTGATAGACGAATGATATTCATATTTTTAACAAGTTTTTCTTTCATTTGCCACCTGTGCTGAGATGGTTTGATTTAAGCTGTACAGTTTTGATATTGCATGATTCACATTTTGTGTGTTATCTGGACACCCATGTGCCTTCCAGCCATTTTGAAATTCTTAAAACATCATTCATGTTGACAAAATAAATGTATTTGTCTGAAAGGCAGTTTTGAATGATGTCCTGTATTTTGTTCTGTGCCAGCTTCCACTCCTATTTCACGTTTTTTGTTTGAAGTGATTCATGTTTTGCTTGAATGTTCTTCCTATAGATCCCTTGCAGTGATAACAGGACTCCCTAACTAAACAACAAATAGAAGTGTCATTCCCTAACAGACTGAGCATAATTATATGGCTGTTGGATTTCCCTAATTATTGTATTATTTCTCACAAAGTCCACAACAAGTAATAAATTAACATTCCAATAGCAATTTGAGTAGTTAGGGAGTCCTCTATCATCAATCGCTAGTGGTGCCAGCCAATACAATTCTATTATTGTTTTTAATGTACTTACAATTTGAATATTTTATGGTATTATTTCAGACTAAATATTTTAATGTGGTGTAGCACAATATTTTATACTTTGGTCTGCCATGAACTGAACAAAGTTTGAAACAATTTATGTTGGGTTTTGATGTGAACTCTTCCACAGATGTATTAATGATTGTATTTATACTACTTTTTCAATAAATGATAATTTTAATATACAAGTGAAATGATTCATATCAACACTACATGGTGTGAAGAAGTGTGTGTGTGTGTA